CACACACACACACACACACACACATACACACACACAACCCCCCAACATACACACAAACGCAAATATGTAACGCAAACACACACACAACACATTTCCACATAGTCTTCTATACATAACATTGTTTTGTAATAATAACAGGACAAACGGGAAAACAAACTCAGACAACTTTTAAAATTGTAGCCTTTAAAAGGACAAGCGGTCTAACCCAGATTTCGGGGGTTTCCAGAAATCTTGCCCCACACCAAAGTGAGCATTGCCCTACTTATAGGAGAAGGGTGGTTTCATTGGTGTGTATACTTGTTTGGTTATAGAGAAAACTCTTCTTGTCTTTTAAAGAAACTGAACGAGGGGCAAAAACTTTACCTTCGATTTTCTCAAAACAGCAGTTTTTTCGGCATAGCCTCATTGTGCTTGGAAGCGACCAGCTGTACATAGTATTCTATACATAGCATTACAATGTTTTTTGTAATAATAACAGGGCAAACGGGAAAATAAACCCAAACAACTTTTAAAATACATGTATGTATTATTACGATTACTCTTGTTGTTCGTTCAGGGCCTTCTGGATTGGCCTCAGACGTGTGGATAAATCACAGGAAGAGTTTGTGTGGGCTGATGAAACGACTCCAACATACACCAACTGGGCAGTCAATGAACCAGGTTAGTGACGTCACCGTGTTTGTCTGTATGTGTGTGTGTTTGTTTGTTTGTCTTTACATGTACAAGATACAGACCCGTTCTACGAACGGTGATATTGTGATAGCAAGTCCAAAGATAAAATGTTTGTACCCGAGTCATTGCCGTAAGTCCTCGTGTAGACAACATTGCTGGTGTATACATGTACGCCATGTGGAACTCCTTCCTGGGCTGCATGTCTGTTTGCATGTATTCTAAAAGAGTCCCTGGACCAAATACGATTCATTTGTTTTGTTTTTGTAAAGTGTTTTACGGCGCTCGCAACTGCATAAGGTCATATGAGCGCGCGGGACACACCTAATATTTTCAGTTGGTAGGAAATTTTGAATTTTGCCCGGGTGGCGGCCGAAGCCTACTCTTATCGATTTTAGACCACCAAGGGATCTTTAACGTGCGCATCTTGCACACGGGCCCTCCGAGATTTTTCGCCCTTGTCCGAGAAAGCTAGGTGTAGATCTTTCCTACCAGAAGATCAGGGGTGTGGCAGAAAGACAGCAGTAAGAAGGAGTCAAGGAGTAGCAGTAGAAAGGCTGCAGAAAGAGTCAGGATCCCAGAGGAGGGAGCAAAGGAGGAGAGCGGGTGGGGACAGAAATTAGAAACGAAATCAGACAACAGAACATTGCTAGAGAGCAGGAAAGGAGGTGAAAGGAGACAATTTTTAGAGAAGAAAATTTTTCGGTCGCTACCCGGATTCGAATCCGGGACCTTTGAATGAGAGGCCAACACCTTAACCTCTAGGCCACGAGAGCCCCTACGATTCATTGCGAATTACAACATTGTCCATGTGAACAAAATATTATTGCCCTGTAAAGAAACCCCTATCCTTTTCAAAGTCTCTCCCTAAAATTGTTGGAAGTCATTGAAAAAGCAGGTCTAACCGGAAATTGTTTCCGTCGTATTTGGAAGGGAAATATTTTTATATTGTCTGAAGGCACGAGGGGAATCCTTGGGATCAAAAGTCTCTTTCCGGCATGTGGATCGCAAACGACGACAGCATCAATGACATGTTGAAGAAGGTTTTGAACCACATATCGAGTCCCGTTGCCGTGGCCGTTTGTGGGGTCCAGATTTCTCAGCAACATTACAATGCTGACTTTCCGCAATGTCAGTTTGTGGGGTGGCATATCCGACAGACATATACATCTAGGATATAGAGGTCTAGATCTAGAGCCTTGCTCTATAAAAAGCTACACAGAAAATACGCTCCAAATTTTGAAAACGGCAATGCAACGAAGTGGGTTTAAAAAAACTTAACGTGTTGGGGACATCACCACACCAAATATATCTAGAAAAAGTCAATTCAATGAAGTCTGACCTGAAGTACTCATCGACACTGCGAAGCACACATCCAAACAGAGTTAGAAATCGAGATTCTAGTTCTGGAAACAATAGAAGCAGCTTTGTAAACACAAAGTAGAACTCTATGGCACACACACGACAAAGCACAAACCGCTCTTCTGTTCTTGCTAACTACTCCAAATCAGTCTTGAATTTTGTGCTCCAAATACATCTAGAATATAATATTATAGAGGGATCAAGATGTAGAGTCTTGCTCCATGAAAAAAACTACGCACCAAATACGCACCAAATTTTGAAAACGTCAATACAACGAAGTAAACATTTTGTGGGTTACGAACTCAAAGAGTTGGGGACGTGACTTCACCAAATGTATCTAGAAAAGTCAATACAATAAAGTTTGGCTTGAAGTGTCCATCGACACTGCGAACCACACATCCAAACAGAGTTAGATATCAAGATTCTAGATCTGGAAATAGTAGAAGCAGCTGTCTCACACACACGACGAAGCACACACCGAAACCGAAGTAGTCCCCAGTAAAATATGAAATAGCTAAAGGCAGAGTGAAAACATCCGAGATCTTGAGATTTACAGGAAAAACCATCAAACCTGAAAAATCAAAAGGTAGTTTCCGAACTTTAAAAATGTTGCCCACGTAATCATTTGTGACAATTCTTAGCTGAATAATATTTTTTAAAGATTTTATGGGCGCCTGTGTAAAAAAAAAATGTATACTGACCTCACAAACGGACCTAGCTCCATTATAATAAGATTATTACTTTTATTTTATCAGTATTATCATTATTAGAAGTAGTATTGTTATCATTGTTATCGTTATCATTATTAGAAGAAGTATTCTTAGTAGTACACCTGTAATTTGGTAGTTCGTTATTTTTCTAGATCTAATTCTTTCACACCACCCTCACGTTTTCTACTTTCTACCATTCGTTCATCCCCAATGCGTGTTTTTAAATATTCATTCATCCCCAATGTGTGTTTTTTACCATTCGTTCTTCACCAATGTGTGTTTTTTTACCATTCGTTCATCCCCAATGTGTGTTTTTTTTATCATTCGTTCATCACCAATGTGTGTTTCTTACCATTCATTCATCCCCAAATCGTGTTTTTTACCATTCATTCATCCCCAAATCGTGTTTTTTACCATTCATTCATCCCCAAATCGTGTTTTTTACCATACATTCATCCCCAAATCGTGTTTTTTACCATTCATTCATCCCCAAATCGTGTTTTTTACCATTCATTCATAACCAATGTGTGTTTTTTACCACTTGTTTATCACCTATGTGTTCTGTGCTTCACGACAGACTTAAGCAGGGACAAAGACTGTGTGGTGATGAGGCCAGGCGACTTCAAGTGGAGGACCAGCTATTGTGAAAGGGAGGAGGTGTATTTGTGCGAGGACGAAAGTGAGTTTGTTTGTTTTGTTTGTTGGTTTGATCGTTTATTTGTTTGGTTGTTTGTTTATTTGTTTTAATGGCTTGATTGTTTGTTTGTTGGTTGGTTGGCTGGTTAGTTGGTTGTTTATTTGTTTGTCTGTTTGTTTGTTAGTTTTTTGTTTGCTTTTTATGTTCATGACGTCGTACCGTTAGTGAATGATGATAATGATGATGATCATCATCATCATCATCATCATCATGATAGGCGAAACATTTAAATTATCATATGGTGTCATTAATATTAAAATACTCAATTTTGCACCAAATTTCTACCCTTTTTAACTATCATCCTGCTTACAACAACTACAATGATGATGATGATGATGATGATGATGATGATGATGATGATGATGATGATGATGATGATGATGATGATGGCGACAAAATATGCAAAATACAACGACAAGGAAACGAAAATAACGCCAAAAAACAAGCGAGTCAAAGTGAAAAGCCCGCTATTGCAAGCACGATAATAGTTATGTTACCGCATTCTCATTTTTAAGGTGGAAAAATTATCTCACATCATAACAAAACACAAACTGAACCAAACGACGTATTGATCGATCGATGAGCAACAATAGATGTTAAAGAAGAAACAAAAATATGACAGTACAACAAAACATACGTGAGGCTTCGTGGTGAAATCACGCTCTCGTCAAAATAATGAAATCGAGCTAACAAATCGACATATTTTGCCGATCGTTGGATGATTTTTACGGATTTATTTTAATCAGCACATTTAATACCTGTGAAAAAACATTCAAGTGTGTACTTTACTGGGAAAAACATTTGGTCGCTTTTAAGGACAAGCCTGATAACCCAGATTTCGAGGGTTTCCAGAAATCTTGACCTACACCAAAAGTGGGCATTGCCCTACCTATAGGAGAAGTTTGGTTTCATTTGTGTGTATATATGTGTTTTGTTATAGAGAAAATTTTCCTTGTCTTTTAAAGAAACTGAATAAGCGTTCAAAAACTTTTCCTTCGATTTTCTCAAAACAGCATTTTTCGGGATAGCCCATTAATTATTGTGCTTAAAAGAGGCAATTTATCAAAGGCACACAAAAAACTCCAAAGTTGCAGTTTTCAGGCGCATTCAAACTCTGGAGTAACCATATTTTGGAAGACATTAATTGTTTCTCGCTAATTTTACCTCGGAAACCAGGTGACCTGCATCTCCATCGCAGGCAAATATCTCAATTTCTATGCAAGACAGATGGGTATTTTTTCATACATAGTTTGACAAATGAACAAGCTTTGAGATTATGCCAATAACACTTTGTAGTGTCAAAAAAATTGATGAGCGCCTGATTCCACCGCGTCGTAACACAAATGCCAGTCCGAGAGACAGATCGGGAACCGTTTTCCTGAAACTAACCGGGCACGATGGATCCCATAAGGAAATTGGTATGCGTTCTCTGTGACACGACAATTATGAAATGGGACACTTTTATGGGGTCCATGCAGTGTAAATTTGGTCACAGAACTAGTCAAAATACAGATGGTGCAGTCGAGTCTTGAGCTTATACAGAGAAATCTGTGAGGTACAGAATTTGTAATGCACATAATGGGCTTATACTGATACTAGCTGGGTCCCTTGAATTAAAGAAATTAAATAATCGGTGCATTAACATCAACTGAAAGTCATTGTCCTACTATATTTACACTCTTCTGGAAAGGAGTAATAAAGCTTGAGAGATGCAAAAGTGTCAAAAAACGTGTAATTGATGAGCGCCTAACTCCACCGCGTCGTAACACAATAAATGTCATTAAAAGAGACAGATCGGGAACCGTTCTCCGGAAACTAACCGGGCACGATGGATCCCATAAAGAAATTGGTATCCGTTCTCTGAGACACGACAATTATGAAATGGGACGCTTTTATGGGGTCCATGCAGACTAAATTTGGTCACAGAACTAGTCAAAATACAGATGGTGCCGTCGAGCCATTAGCTTATATAATGAGAAATTTGTGAGGTACAGAATTTGTAATGCACAGAATGGGCTTATACTGATACTAGCTGGGTCCTTTGAATTAAAGAAATAATCGGTGCATCAACATCATCTGAGAGTCATTGGCCTACTATATTTACACTCTACTGGAATGGAGCAATAAAGCTTGAGAGATGCAAAAAATTGGAAGGTCTAGATCTATACCATCAAAACAAAATGCGCCTCGCGAAATATCACTTTCGGCACTTCCGCTGTGAAGGACAGCAACTGCGCAGATTTGTTTCGTTTCTCAGTGGAGTAATCACAAAGGCCAAAGAAGAACGGGAACTTTTTGTCAAATATATTTTTCTAAATTCAGGAAATAAATAAATAAAAAATCGGGCTCTGTCATGGGGAACTATCTATCTCTTTGCAGGTACTTTCCAACTTTCAACTCTGTAGCTGTCGTAGTTTTGTGGGAAAAGTGACACATGTGTTTCCAAGTTGCAAAATATATAATAAATATGTGTGATGCACGGAATCAAGTTTGTACTAAAAGTCACAATAATTGAATATTAATTAGGTTTGTACTTTTAGGTTTATTATGGAAATGTAGAAAAGAACGTTTCCAAAGCAAAAGAAAAATAATTAGAGTTTGATTAAAACCATTGACTTTTACTTTTTGTGAATGTGTTAATGTGTGTACGTATACACGTTTGTATGTGTATGTGGGGGTGGGGGGGTGAGTGATGAGGTGTGAACGTACAGAGAGAGGACGAGAGAAAGGTAATGGTACCATGAAAAGAAGATAGATAGATAGATAGATAGATAGATAGATAGATAGATAGATAGATAGATA